TAAAAATCTTTTTCGCTCCCCAAAATGAATTGTTTCCCCGTGTGGTTTCTGGACAGCCAGGCTGGGCACCAGAGTAGCAAAGCAGTCCAAAGAATGCATGTTTACAAATAAAGACAGTCATAAGGACGGGCAGCACGTGGTGAGGAGGCGTCTCCGTGCGTGGATGAGGATTCAGCAGACTGAGGAACGTCTCCCTCTTCCAGTAGGGATTGTTTCACTGCTGTCGGTGAAAGCTGTAGTGTAATTGCAATGTACTGTCTGGCTCTAAGTGTTACTGCACTGAGCCTCTGTTTCCTGGACTAGAAACTCTCAAACTGAACAAACCTTTTGAATAAGTACACTGTCCAACCACTGTTTGCATTCAATAAAACGTGCGTTTTTCCATTAACACTTGTCTGCTGTATTTGTTCAAGTGGGAATCCATGGGAATTGGTGTCTTAGGCAGTAGGGGATGTACTTATAGTTGCTATTCCACCTTGCCTTCAGGGATGATGAGTCTGAAATGGCCTTTCTCTCTCCACCTCTTGGTCTCCTTTTCAAACTGTTCAGGTTCCTATTCTTCTGTGCCTGAAGAGTAGCTCTCATCTGAAGCAATGGAAGACTGCGTTGCAGTACAGCAGGATTGTAGTCTGCTTGATGGCGTCACTGCGAGGCAAGTTGTTACAATCCACTTGCATCAGACTGGAATAAAGTCAGTTTGCTTGCTTTGCCTTAACTATTGCTACTCGGAAAGTGTTTGTGCTTGATGTTTATGGTTTTAAGCATGGTACTGTCTTGGTCACTGCAGGTGAAACTCCCCTTTGTGGTAAGCATCAATGCTTCTACACTTCAAAGACATGAAACCTACTCTTGTTCTCTTGCTGGTTTTGGGGAAATCTTTGATGACTCCTTGCAAATTGATCCAGTAAATGCTTCGAGGATGCTATAGGATGAGCAAAGAAGAAACATTCCCCATTTCCTTTCTTTTCTTAATCTTTCTTGCTGGTTTGTTTTGGGTGATCGTTTCTAGATTATGTGGTTAAAAGCTCATGCCCATAAACACCAAGGAGCAGAGAGGAGAGAAACAATGACAGGAGGGGGGGGAAGAGAATCACTGACCTAGCTCCTTCCAGAGCTATGGGAGGACTACAGCCCCAGTGTCTGGATAAGAAACCTGTCTAATGGAGTCCATGGGAAGGGCTCTCTGGATCACCTTGCTGATTAAAGGGAGGAGAGCCCCTCTGAGGGGCATGGGGTGCAGGGGAAGAGCATTTGGGGACTACAAGACTTGTTACGGGATGCGCAGGGGCAGGATCAAAGGCAGGAAAAGGGGGTGATTGAGGAGAGGAAGCAGTGTGGGAAAACTGAGGGGAAAAGGGCACAGAAGGGGCTGGCTGCACATTCACGGTACACTTGTCTGGCCATGCCCTGTGTGTCATCAGCACAGTCTGTCCTGTCTTCCTATTAAACTCTCTTTTTTTTCTTTTGTCTTTTTTTTTAAATTATTATTTTTTTTTATTTTCCTGTGTGAAGGGGCTCTGTTAAGCACATGTGGAGGTCTAAGGGCCAGCAAATGGAAACACCTGAGTGCATGCATGTTGTGTGGGTATGTATGTCCATGTGTAATACTAACAAAAATCAAGTCAGAGTGGTTGGTGAGTGAGTAGGGTAAGAGACTGCAGAGCCATGAGTTGGCATGGCTGTGAGTCTGGCCAGGTGCTCTAAGGAGTCAGCTGCTAGAGCTCCCAGGAGGTGCAAGCCAGATGCTCCCAGGTCTGGAAGTCAGCTACTGGTAAGCCTGGACCAGCTACCAGGCAACAGTTTGCATCTGTGCGTGAGGTGACTGGGAGACCAGGGAATCCTGGGGCCAATTGAAACGTAGAGCCAATGTCTGGAGTGAGTGAGTGAGTGTGTGTGTGTGTGTGTGTGTGCGCAACTGAGGAGACCAGCTCAGGCTCCATATTGTGGAGCCAGCTACTGGATAGCTGGTCTTAAGACACTAGAGGGATCCATAGTATATATGTATATATTTCCCACTAACAGGTTCATCCTGATCAGCCGGAGAAGGGAATAGGATCAGGCTGTTTGTGCTGTGCTTGCATGACTGCCATGCTTTCTGCCTCAGGCCAGTACAGTGTGTGTGCATTATATATATATACATGCACATATTATATACATGTGTATTTTGTGTGCATGACTGCCTATTGGGAATACATGCTCAGGCTTGCTACTGGCTGTACCTGAGGACATGGAACTGAACAGACTCTCCTCTGTCAGGCCAGCTGATTCAGCAGCTCCTCACAGTTGAAGTTGGAAGGGACCTCCCTGCTCAGAGAAGGCAACCAGAGCAGGTTGCTCAGGAATGCACCCCATCAGTTTTTTAATACCTCCAAGGATGAGAACTCCACAATGTCCCTGGGTAACCTGTTTCAGTGTTCAACAACTCTCATAGTAAGTTTTTTCTTACCTTCAAATGGAATTTATTGTACTTTGCTGTGTTCCCACTGCTGCTTCTCCTTCCAGTGGGTACCACTGAGGTGAGTCCAACTCCCTCTTCTCTCCCTCCCATCAGGTATTTATACACAATGGTAAGAGCCACCCAAACCTCCTCATCTCGAGGCTGAACAGTCCCAGCTGTCTCGGCCTCTCGTATGTCAGGTGCTCTAATCCCTTCAAAATCATAGTGGCCTTTCACTGGACCTGCTCCAGTAAGTCCATGTCCTTCTTTGCACTGGAGAGCCCAAAATTGGACCCAACACTCTGGATGTCTGACCAGTGCTGAAATAGAGAATTGCCTCCCTCCAGCTACTGGTGATGCATTTTCTGATGCAGCCCAGATACTGCTGGCCTCCTGTACTACAAGGGCACATTACTGGCTCAAGTGTGACTTGCTGTTAACTATGACCTGCAAATCCTTTCCTTCAAAGCTGGTTTCCAGCCAGTCAGCACCCGGCATGTACTGGTGCGTGGAGCTATTCCTCCTCAGCTGCAGGGCTCTGCATTTCCCTTGGTTCAACTTCACGAGTCTCCTCTCTTCCCATTTCTCCCATCCATTAAGGTCCCTCTGAATGGCAGCACAACTCTCTGATGTATCAACCAGTCCCAATTTTCTATCATCTGCAAAGGATAGGTTAAAGTTTACATATGTATGACACAAGCTCATAACGCTGTGTCAGCCTCATCAGGGCTTATCTTCCAGCCTGCATATCTGCCATGTTGCAACTTTATTACCTATACTTCATGTTAAAGACACCTATTACTTAGACTGAACTTACTGATATGCTAAAAAGACGCACAGTAAGAGCTTATTTTGTCAGCTGTATCTCCTGCAGTGACTTGAGTAGCTGAGGTACATGTATACTCTGCTGCTTCTCATGTTGAATAGAAACCAGCCTTCTTGCTTTACGTTACAGTTCTTCAGACCTCTGCTTCTTAACCCTTCTGTCATTTATGGTTAAGCAAGACCTTCCTAGGAGCAGGGGTGTTAATTTATAGACTTAGGAATTTGGAGCATTATACAATGATGGAATCACTGATAAGCTACCTACAGCAAGTAACTAATTGTTGAATGGCTAGCACTCGCCTTCTTTACCAACTTAGACTTAGCTCAAGCACTAAAAAATAAATCTTGAGGTGACTATTCTTCCCAGGTAGGAGAAAATCTTAGGAACGTCAGAGTGAGATTTCCTCTTTCCCCCCAGACAGTCTATTCTGCAGAAGGAAGTATTACTCACATGTATTTCAGCAGTAGCTTCTAATACTTCTCATGGTTTAGGGGTAAATAAAGGAGCTGTAAAAAGACGGACTTGGCTACAGCTGGATACAGCTGTAACTGGATTTAGACAAAAAAGTCTGAAGTGACCAGCTGCATATGTATCCTTTAATCCTAGCGCAACCATATTTCCACATGAAATCTGCACTTAAATGGACAAAGACCATTGGCTGAAACAGCTAAACATGGATATAAGGACCCTGCTGGAACTTATAATATATATATATATATGCTAGAGGTCCCAATCATATTTGAAATAAGCCAAAGAACTCCCACACAGCCTGCTCTGCCACAGGTTTATTTACAAAATATTATTTACAGTCTATAGCTGTCTCAAGCTCTGATAAATAATAACATTTCCTCCATAGAGAAGGAATAAGACAGACCACCCACACATTATTCTGTTACAAATACCCTATCCAGCCAAACAAGACTATTGTCTCTCTTAAAAAGGGGCAGAGAGGGGCGGAGAAAAATGGATACCTGAAGAATTATCTGTCCATGGCAAAAGTAAAAGTATTAAGCAGGTTGGAGAGATGTACATCTCCCCCCTGAAGTGTGCATGTGCAAAACAGCAACATGCTGAGGTTACATGATCACACAAGTCACAGCAGGGTGTGCTGCTACTCCCCACTTCTCCTCCAAAGAAAGAAGTACACCATGAGTTGGTCTTTAAGGCAAGAATAGGTGAGTTAAAAAACATATCCCTTACCAGCAGTCTTGTGAAAGACTGAATAGTTTGTTCCTGTTGTAAAATAAGGAAGACAGAAGGCTGCTGAAGTGAGAAGGGATACATGCCAGGGAGTGAACAGGCCCAATCTCTACATGTCTGTGTCCTTGTGCATGTTCCCTGAATGTCCCAGTCTATCTGAACTCTTATCTCCAATCTTAAAACATTATCCACTGCCCCCAGCCCACTCTGTATGTATCTTTATGTTTCCATGTGATACACTGAGGGTCTGAAACTCCAGTATGTGGACTACAAGGATTACTTAGATACACAGAATGGACTACAGAAGACAGGGCTGAGAACCATTTCAAAGACCAGTGCTCTGAAACTTACTGATGGCTGCTGTAGAGCTAAAGCAAGGGGGAACAGAAATGAGAGCAGGTGGTGTTGCCTCATGAGCCTTTTCAGTTCTGGTTGTTTTGCTTTGCTTGTCCCAGTCACTCACTTGGAAGCAACTGCCATAGGAATGATTCCAAGTGATATCTGGTAAGAATGGGCATTTAGCAAGCTTAAGAGACCAACGACTGGTCATTCCTTAAAGCCTTGGATGCTACACAGGATCCTTTTCTGGTGGCCTGGAAGTGACACACCCATCTGTTTCAAGTCCCTGAAAGAAATGGGAAAAGAAAGGAAAAAATTAATTACTGTTCTTGTTCCTTGGGGATTGGGATGTGGGTAACGGCAGAAACTGTTACCAAACATTAGTTCAGAAAGCTTCCTTTCCTTCAGTGCCTCCTATGCCACCTATCTTTTCTCTAGAGGGAAGAAACTTGTATATGTTCCTGCCCTTCCCTGGCTACCTCTGCCCACCCAGTCAACTGGCTTCTCCCACCTTGTGACTAGGCCTGCACTCCCATTAAATCAGGACTGTGTCCACATCAGCTTGTGAAATGGGCCATGTCCCACAACCCTTTAGCAGGCCTGTGCCTGCTCATTTCTTTTATGTAACTAACTGCCCTGGTTGGAGCTGGCTATATGTCCCCAACCCTACAACAGAACATGCCCGTGTTGGTAAAGCATCTGACCTGAGTCCTTCTAAGGACCCCAGAAGGACTTTGCTCTATGGCAGAACAGTGCCTGGCTGATGTGGGAGGAATATCACTAGCCCATCTGGAGTTCAAGGCAAGAAAATTCTCTCATAAAGTCCTACAAGGCTGGGGAGATGGTCAGATTAGAGAACTGTCTGCCATCTATTTTTTCCCCTTGCTGTTTGTGTCTGATGTGAGTTCAGAGCAGCTCAGGCCCCTGAAGAGCCTCAAGCATGGACAGTTAGGGAATTAGTCTCACAGTTTGGGCTGATCCCAATTCTTCTGGGCCGATTCTTCCCCTTTAGGGCAAGAAGCCAGTCCACTTCCATTTAACTATATAGAGAAAGATGGAGAGCAGCCTTCCAAGTAAATATGAGTGCCATAGAACAGGGACAGATGCAGCTATTTGTAGCATAGCCTGGGGTGCCTTGTGGGAGCTTAGCCTGCCCTTACTCAGCAGTGAGCTCCAGAATGGACTCCATGGTGTCCAGGCCAGCAGTGCGAAAGTTGGAGATGTAGCGCTTCATGCGAATGGATTCCAGCCATTCAGGGATGGATCGATAAGGGATCCCATCAGATCCACTGCAGCTGGGCAGCCGTAGTGTTACCCTAAAGACAGATAAAACCCTCATTAGTCAGGCAGCTACCTTAAATGACTAGTACTATGAGATGGTAGCCAAAGCTCTGCTAGAGCTAGGCCAACTTCTCTGCTTTCTGCACAGTGAGGTCAGACTGCCCAGGCCAATGGCTATGCCCGCGGTCACTATGAGAGAGAGAGATGATTGCTGCCTTCTGCACACAGAGCATTCAAGGCGCCTCTTGCCAGCCTGCGCTGCTAGCGCTACCTCTCCTCCTGCTGGAGACAGGGAGGTCAAAATTTCCCAGTTAGCCTCTCCTCCTCCAATGATAGCCTGCTTACCTGGGATCAAAGTCTGCAACAGAACGGAGGAGCTGGGGACTTGAGACAAAATGTTGCAGCTGTGCCCGGATTTCCTGAAAATGAGGCCTCCTCGTCCGATCGTGTGACCAACAGCTCTTCATGAGCTCGTAGAGGATAGATGGGCAGTCCACAGGTGGGGGGAGCCGGTACCCATCCTCTAAGCTTTTCATCACCTGCACAGAGGACAGAGAAATCTAGCCAAGAGCAGAGAATGCGAAAGAGGAGCCAGAGACCTCTGTGGGGCTGGGAGCAGGCAGTTCACCATTCTGCACAGTGTGCAGTCGGGGAGGGGTTAAAGCAGATTACATGTGTATAAAGTAGGGTTTGGGCAGCACAGCAAAGGATCAGGACACTAAGGGATGTCAAAAAGTGAAGTGGAACATGCAGGTGCTTTCAATCCTTTACTAGCCTAGTCCCCATTTTGCCATTCAGGGCATGTGTTCATCAGAAGTGAGGACCAAATGATCCTGGCACAGGCCTGGTGAGAAAAGGGGAACCAGACTCTGACGAATCATTTCACCAGCATGTGCTAATCTCACTGATGTGCTGAACCTAGAATGAGTATGAGACCAGATGTAATATACCAGAGCCAGAGGAAGGAGAGATAGAAACCAACAGAGAACATCTCCTGATGCAAAGGCCATGGCTGATTTAACCAGTCTTTAATTTGGCTCATTGCTGTTGACACCTGAACATGGTTCAGAGGCTCAAACACTTATTGCCCTTGACTAGGTTGCATTGATTTTTAGCAGGGAGGAGGACATACTAGTTATGCATTCCAAAGAATGTCAAGACTGCAGGCCGAGGGAGGTCTACAAAAGTTGGGCCTACATGCCTTGTTATTTTTTTAAATCAGCACTTGAACTCAGTATCTGTTACCTCTTGATTGGTCATGTCCCCATATGGCTTGTCACCAAATGACAGCACTTCCCACATGACAATTCCGAAGCTCCAGACATCACTGGCTGAGGTGAAAATCCGATGAGCAATGGCCTCTGGGGCTGTCCATCTGATGGGAATCTTACCACCCTGTGAAAGAGCAGAGACATAGTGTATCCAGCATGTATCATTGAGTTGTATTTCTCCAGTGCTGTCATACAAGGAGCTTACAAAGTGGTTCAAAGACTGGGCCCACTTCACTTGAAGTGACATGTAACCACCTCTGGGGAAATTTCTCAAAAGGATAGTCTTGGAAAGTGAATGAGTTTAAGCCCTCTGTTCAGTTGAATGCTACACAAAACCACTGCCATGGGAGCAAGAGCCTGACACCAGTCACAGCCCTACTTTGAATGACACCAAACATTAGAATCACTGGAACTTTCATTTCAAGGGCCCTGTAGATGTGTCTAGTCAAAACCCCTGACAGCAGGGCTATCTTCAAAGCTAGATTTAGTTAACTGAGTCCAAAAGATCAGACCTCTTATTTTGCTTCTCATTTCAAATTCACAGTCCCCCTGAATCTCTTAGCAAACAAAATCAGCATGGACTCCAGACAGAAAAGCATCACCTTCTGAATAATCCACACTATGACTTGCAGTTTTATTACAGGTATTCCTCAGAGGTTTTCCATCCAAATCTTCTCTTGGCCTGGTGTTTCCCATTGTGAAGAAATTCTGCCATTCTTAACTTGCAGAATCCCAATCCCCCTGAGACTACAGTTCATTTACAAGACTAAGAGATTGGTTCTGCATTACCTTGGTTTCATAGGTTCCCTCTGCATCATTCTCCAATATTCGTGAAAGACCAAAGTCAGACACTTTGCATTGAAGACTGCGTGTTACCAGGATGTTGCGAGCAGCCAGATCCCGGTGCACATAGCTATGTTCTGAAAGGTAGGTCATGCCAGAGGCTATTCCCTGCAGCATGCTCACAAGCTGCACAGGGCTAAATTTTTCCTCATTCTCCTGCATGGAAGAAGAAGTGAGAGAAGATCCTGGTCAAGTGACATCAATCTGCTTGGTTCCTAGCTACTGGCCTTATCAACTTGCAAAAGTGGGCATTGGTGAACAAGCCACAAGGCAATGCTGCAGCCCAAAGGATCCAATCAGTTCTCACTAACGGTCTGGCAGTGGTCTCCAGAGTCATCATCAGGCACCTGCACTTCAACTACCAAAGACAGCACTCTGGCACTGAGCAAACTGGATGCCATAAAGCTTCAACTTCTGTGACTGGAAATGTTAGCAATCAGAAAGTAAGAGGATGTCTGGATCTTATTTCTAGTCTTCTTTTAAGGTCCTAAATCCAGGTCAAGTGCAAGTTCCAGCAGTACACAAGCCTATTACAGATTGGAGTCTCTCACCCGGAGGAAGGTATCCAGCGCTCCATTCTCCATATACTCAGTGATGATCATCATTGGCCTCCCTTGAGGAAGACAAGAAGGTGTCAGCCTTTTTGCAATTCTACTCTTGCCTTTCAATGCTCTCCACATTGCCCCAACACAGAACCATATCCAACCCCAGCCAACATCCTCACTCCACAGGCACAGCTGGCTTGACCCTTCTCCTTAGACCTCGCCAATAATTTTGTATTCCTCCTTGTGTCACACATATAACCTTATAGCATCCCTTACACTGTCCCAACTTCTCATCCACTCACCAACCCAAGAAGACCTCCTCTGACACTGCCTCATGACTCTGTTGGAAATCCATACCTCTCCTCCCTTTGTCATTCTTTGCCATAGGCTAAACATGACAATGCCTGTCTTCTCCCAGCACAGCCTCTCTGACAGCATCCTCTCTAAGAAAGGCCTGAGAAATGTGCCAGTTTCTGCTCTCATTCCAGGACTCTCTCCCACACAGTCTTACTTTTGGTGACGACTCCTTCCAGACGCACTATGTTTGGGTGATTGAATTGCCCCATAATCGTTGCCTCACGCAGAAAGTTCCACCACTGTGAGTCTGAATACGTCGGCTTCAGGGTCTTGATGGCAACCACGATACGTTCTTTTCCTGAGAGCCGCAGGGACCCACGATAGACCTCCCCAAACTCCCCTGAGGACAACCAGAGGAAAAAGGTCACAGATGAACTCAGGAATAGGCAGCAAAATAACAGTGTGGGGAACTGAAAGATGGGGAGAGTAACAAGTAACTCACCCTCTCCAATCACATTCTCCATAGTGACACAAGAGACGTCCAGTTCCTTAGTGAATTCCAGCACCCCTCTGCTGGGGTCATCATATGGTTGCAGGTCTACATAGGGCTTCAACCAGACTTTCTCTGTGGTAAAGGGAAAAAAAAGAGCAAATTAACCTGTCAACTCCTTGGACAAGCTTTGTAGGGCAAAGCTACAGAAGCAGAGATGAATCCATGGGATTCTGACGATGGCAGTAAACAAATCTACCGAACATACATTGAAGACTTATGGGAAGAGGCAAATTACATCAGAAAATCCATGCCACTGCCTGGTTTGAAACTACTGTTTCTTTTCATTCCTTCCAACCCATTCCAGGCTTCTCCCTGCATCTACAACCCCTTTGAAGCTCACCTCGATCAAAGCCTGAAGTATTGTAATCTGGCCGTGCTTGTCTCCGACGAGCCTGCCTGGAACATAAGAAGCAGTCATGAAAATAAAATGGCCAGCAGATAGCAAAGAGAAAAGTAAGACTTCCAGGGTATCAGCCCTAGTTGGTCAGGGACAGAATTCAGGGTAGCGCAGAGCAAAGAGGAACCAGACACTGCACCTACTTTGGTAGATACAGCTAGCAAGAAAATGTGATGCTTCATTTTCATGCAGGTAGTTTTGTTCATGCTTCTGCTTGCTGAATTACAGACAAATTTCTATTTATTTTATGTTTTCTGCATACTTTCAGTTCAATACCTGATATTCTTCAAACAATAGCAGCCTTACATATTTAGAAAGGAAGTGGAATTTTGTATCTGGGTAGAGGACCACTAAAGTCATGGTTTGAAATGACTGGATACATGTATTGCCCACATAATTGATCAGCAGCTACAGAAATGATTGTACCATAACAATATTTTTATTCATCTGTCACTGTAGCAGTATGATAATGCTGGATTATAACAAAATAGAAATCACCACATTTTCCTGTGTCAAAACAGAAATCACCACATTTTCCGGTGTTCTCGGCAGCAAGCATTATCTTACAGACGTATCAATCCCTCCAATCCTGCTAATCAAAATTACTTACTGAGACTCATTCCATCTTGCCGCAGCACACTGGTCTTACTCTTTCTCCTCTAACTAACCTCCACCTATCCGATATGCTGTGAGAAATCAGGGCCTCCATCCCTCAAGCTCAGCTATTCCTACATCTTTACCTTTTTCAATACTAAAAATCAACACTTACTTTCGCCGAAAGATGAGAAGTCCCATAAGCAGCCCAATAAATAGTAGAACTCCAAAGATAATAGAGACTACAACTCCACCAGACAGAGCTCCTGTGTCTGCAGAAACAAAGAGAAAGGCCATGTAATTTAAAAGATCAAGAACTGTTTGTCTGGAATGTAGCAACCAGCTTCTACCACTCAATGGTATTGGGTAGAATACGGCCCATGTATTCTACATAGGTCATTTTCTTCCAGGCAACAGAGCTACCAGATCTGAGTCCTACAATGTTGTTACTCATGTGCATGGAGCACCTTCTGCTAGGTATCTGGCTGACACTTATCTACAGTCTTGGTATTTTAGCTGAGTAATTTATCCCTATGCCTGATTTCCCACATAAATTCCATGACACTTTCAAAAATGAAGAACAGCTGTTCCTTCTCTCCCACTCCTCTCCTGCTCAGTAGCTGATTTAGACTATGGCACAGCAAAGACATGATTCTTCCCAGAAGTCTAACTTGACTCTCTTCTTGTTTATGAAATTAATTTCCCCCTCACCTTCCATCCATATCTGGGGTTGGTCCCTTCCCTAATTACCTTGACAGAAGCCACTGTCTGCTTAGGACTTTTGAAACAAGCAGGTACTAACTTATGAAACTAAGCATCAGGTGGTTTAATTTTGTGATTGGATAGCATTCAGATAGTGTTCACATAACACAGGTTGTCTTCTTCCATTTAGATTCTCAAGCTAAAGCCATCCATTTCCATATCATAGAATCATAGAATCACAGAATCAATGTTTTGGGTTGGAAGGGACCCCTAGAGGTCATCTAGTCCAACTCCCCTGCAGTGAGCAGGGACACCTTTAACCAGATCAGGTTGTTCAGAGCCCCGTCCAACCGGGTCTTGAATGTTTCCAGGGATGGGGCCTCCACTACGTCTCTGGGCAGCCTGTTCCAGTGTTTCACTACCCTCATTGTAAAGAATTTCTTCCTTATATCTAGTCTATAATATATTTGAATTCATCAGAGGAAATGCTAAATGACATCTGTTGGTGAAATATGTGTTTTTAAACCTTATTTACCATAACTTAATAAATTATTTTTAAAAATAAAAAATGTTCGTATAAATAAAAAGTGTTCATATCCATGTCTAACGAGAATCTATATTTCTTAATATTTTCACTAAAGAGATTTAGGAAAACATCCAGAAGAAAGAAAATTCCTACAGAAATTCTTTCAATAAATGAGCAGATTTTAAAATAAAGAACAGCTTGTGTGACACAAACAACTGTGTCTGGAAGAGTTTCCTAACATCCAGTCCAATGGTCAGCATCGGTAAAGCCTAATTAACACTTGTTATTCTTGCTCAATTTGATGCTGACTCATCCCACTAAAATTATTAAAAAACACTAGTTTAGTTAAGCAGAAATCAAGCGGCAGAGCTAATGTTCTTTTTTGTTAAAATCAAAACCGCAATATTTGGAAGGCGAAATAATATCTTTCATCAATAAAATGGACAAGCTTTTAGGTACATAGCACTTCTGCAGGGAATTAAAGGATCTGAATTCTCAAACTCAGATTAAAAAGATTTGCTTCTCCCTGCAAAGCTTGTTCCACTAATATCCCTAGGCCATTACAACTAAACAATGCTTCTAGTATTATCAAAGAAGAACTCCCACCAAATGAAACCTTGCTGGCACTTCTTTTTAATCCCTTTCATATTCAAAATACCTTTGTCTTGGCACAATGAGGTGATCAACTTTTATTTTAAAAAACCATAATTTTGATGAAAATATTTTCTAATGTGTCCTTTTATAATTAAAAACATGTAAGGTGCATGTTAATTCACATGTTTTCCACAGAATCTTTGTGGTTTGTTATTCTATTGGTTAAAGATCATTTATGTCATCATCATTTGGCACTGTGACTTCATGAAAAATTTACCAAAAGCACCTGGTGCCGAAAAAAGCCCAATCTTTAAATGATATTCAAATCATGGTATCACAACTCCTTATCAGCTTTTACACAGTTAACTTAACTATTTAGTTACATTAAGCTATGCCTTTGCTTTCTTTCATGTGCTTATTTCATCACAATAAAATTAGCCTTTCAAAGGCATTATTTCAATGGAAGTATTTCTGAAGTTATCCATAGGGTCAATAGGAGGATCTGTGAATGTGTGGAATGAAGAGAGAGCAAACGCCGTTACAGAAAATTTTTGATAAAGGGGAAGTCTCTGGATAACCCAAGGGAAGAGGAGGCTGGATGTGAGTCCTGTACAAGATGTTCTTTGACATAGGAGAAAGGCCTTCCTTGTAGCCTCAATAGTTTGGCCTTCTACACTTCGTGCTTTCATGGAGAACATTTTTCAGTGGCACATACCATCTTTTTGGGCAGAGTTACATTCAGGGGCTGGACTACATACATGCAGTGGAAATTATAAAGCTGGAAAAAAATAGCGGTCAGGTCCTTTGAAACAGTCGTCAGGTCCTTTCAATTCTCCTTTTCACTAGTAACTTTCACACCAAAGGAGGCATACAGTAATCATTTTGCTAACACTCAAACTTAGAAACATTAGCCAGAATCAAAATGTCTTTCAGAAGAATTAGATGAAGAGCTGTTAAGTAATTTTCCAGTACAACACACAAAATTGAGACTGATCAATTCTGAACAGGAAAGCACACATGGATTTTATATGACAGCAAGAAAACAGGACAAATGTCTCCTTGCTCTACAAAGTAACAGGCTTGGCCCTGATGACAAGAAACAAGAGTGTGGTGTCTGTACCTTACAGCAAGTAGAACACAAAAAGAGATCCATGTACCACGTGAATATACAACCCAATGGAGAAGTGAGTTCTCCCAAATGAGATACCCGTGGTTGTCCTTTACCTGGTGGAAGGGTGCGGAATTCCTGCTCCGGGGAGTAGGGCCCAGGCCCGAGGGGTGTGATGGATCTCACGCGAAGCAGGTACGCTGTGTCTGGCTGCAGGTCTGTCAGAGTGACATTTGGCTCAAGAAGGTGCTTCACTGTGTAACGTGCCTCCTCTCCCTGCAGAAATCAAACAGGGTCAAGTAATAAATACACCTTGAACAAAGAGGACACTTCCATCCCTTTGGCTGAAAGGGGGAAGAACAAATAAGGCAGGCCTCACCTTCTCAAAGAACATGACCTCATACTCCACTGAAGTCCGGCTGCGCTGCCGTGGGGCAAGCCAAGAAACAGAAAGACTACTGTCATCTCTTTGTGTCAGAATAAATTGGGATACTGTCACTGGAGCTGCAGGGGAGAGAAGAGAGAACGTCAGGAAGAAATACAAACATAATGCAGACTAGGCCTTCTCTACACCAGAAGCTCTATCTTTCCTTCTCTGGTCATACCATGCAACTGGAACTGACTCTCATTGCCACTGCCACTCCCTCATCTTTCTCTTATGGGTAAAAGGAAAATGAGGTCTCCAATCAGAATTAATTGCTTTCCATTAATAGTATGCTCCTACCTCAACAATAGATGCATAACTTTGGCCCTCAAAGCAAAATCAGTGTTCAAAGAAATAACATTTAATCCAGCATTGCGCATGAAGTGTTCCATTTGAAATAAAAATGTTAGGATTTTGTGCTCTTACAGCAGCAGTAACACAACTATCCTATGCAATTTATGAATGTGGCTCCATTTCATAAGGGTACAGTGAAATTCAGTGCTCAAAATCTGTGAGCTGACTGCAAACACATGCTGTTCGTGAATAAAAAGGTAATTCTCAGCAGTCTGCAATGACTGAAGAGTGGTTCTCTCCTTGTCCTTCATCATCACCAGGAAGTGATGAGGCAAGCCAAAAGTAGCTCTGCTTTTCTAGCTCAGCGTTGTGCTGCCCCCACACAGCATCAGGATGAAAACTCACATTTTGTCACTAAATCAGAACTTAGGGAAAGCACCAAGGGCTGTTGAGCACTGCGGTGTCACTTTTCTATAACCACGTTTCACAGCACTCTGGAAAGTACTCACAGGACAACCAAACTAGCCAGCTTGAAGCTAAACTACTGAAACGTGTCAAGAACTTGCATGTTTTTAACATCCTCATTTCTCCATGCTTTCAAAGCTTCCCCCCCCACACCAGTTACAGCAGGGTTTCTGTTGTGTTTGGTTGGATTTTTTGCAGTATCTGAGTCATGGGAAATATTTCGTGCCACAATCCCTGTTCTTTCTGTCACTCAGGTTGGACTGTCACTTAGGCTGGACTACAGGGAGGGCTTTATCCTCCTCACCTGTATTAAGTCCTTGGTGGATTCATAGCTCTTGGTGGATAATGATTACTGCTGCTTTGACTTGCAAGGAATATGACTTGATGGACTTTACATGCCAGAGGCATGTACCTTAGAGTCCTTATCATACCATACCAACACATGTGGCAGACAGAAGGAGAAGATGGAGAAAGCTTAAACATTCAGAGAGATTCTTCTTCCTTTTCCTGATGAGCAGGAAGAACTTCTCTTCTTCTGCTAACCTGCATGTCCAACTGCGACCCAGAGAGCTGGAGTAGTTCTCTGTGGAGCAGGTCCCATTCCTGAGACACCATTATGGGCTTCCACAGCAAACGTGTAGTTGGTGTAAGCTTCTAGGCCGTCCACATCCACAGCAGGTTTAGTGAGACCAGAAGCACTGGGGGAGAATACCACACCAGCCTCACATGGCTCACACAACAGGAAATGGCAGCGCTGACAGAAGACTGTGTAAGTCAGGTCCTTTCGCCCACCGTGGTCGCTGGGTGGCTGCCACCACAGACTGAGCTGCGTGCCAATAAGGGAGAAGCTGACATTGCGGGGAGCTGAGGGGGGGCCTACAAGAAGCATGAAAGGAAGTATTAGATCCAGCTGTTAATACCCAAAGTACTACGGCAGTTTCCCATCTGCTGATGCATTCTGAATGGAGCCTTCTGTCCCCAGCCTCTCCCTCCCTGATCTCTGATCCCCATTTCCCAACATTTTGTTTCCTCCCATCTCCTCATTCATATAATCACAGAATTATTTGGGTTGGAAGAGACCTTTAAAGATCATCTAGTCCAACTGCCCTGCCATGAGCAGGGACATCTTTCACTGGATCAGCTTGCTCAAAGCCCCATCCAACCTGACCTTGAACACTTCCAAACATGGGGCATCCACAACTTCTGTGGGCAATCTGATCCAATGTCTCACCATGCTGATGGTAAAAAAAGTCTTCCTTATCTCCAATCTAAACCTACTCTCTTTCAGTTTAAAACTATTGCCCCTTGTCCTGTCACTACATGCCCTGGTAAAAAGTCTTTCTCTATCTTTCTTATAGGCCTCCTTTAAGTATTGAAAGGCCACAAAGAGGTCTCCCCAGAGCCTTCTCTTCTCCCAGCTGAATGCCAACTCTCTTCATGAAGAGAGATGTTCCAGCCCTCTGATCTTTTTTGTGGCCCTCTTCTAGACTCACTTTAATGGTTCATGTCTCTTTTGTACTGGGGATCCCAGAGCTGGATGCAGTACTCTAGGTGGGGTCTCACAAGAGCAGAGGGAGAGAGTCACCTCCCTCGACCTGATGGCCATACTTCTTTTGATGCAGCCCAGGATATGATTGGTTTTCTGGGCTGCAAGCACACATGGCCAGCTCATGTCCAATTTTTCCCCCACCAGTATCCCCAAGTTCTTCTCTGTAGGGCTGATCTCAATAAGTTCATCCCCCAGTCTGTATAGACATTGTTCTTTCTTTCTGTCTGTGACTCACGGGTGCAAGCAACATTCTGGCCCTCCGAAGGTGCCCGGTAGAAGCCTGCATTGCAGGAACAAGATGTAGCCCCTGGCTCATTGGACAAGCTGTTGGGGGGGCACTTCAGGCAGCTTTTAGTATCCAGAGTGTGACGGTAGAATCCTCGCTGGCAGGCTGTGAAGAGACAAACCAGTCAATATAAGATCATCAATAAACCAAGATCAACAAGAAACCACCTGCCAGTTTTGTTCAGCTTCTTGAACACGCCTTTATCTGCTTGCTTTTCTTCCATTTTCTTAGCTCACAGAAATACTTAGGTTAGAAGGGACCCCTGGAGGTCATCTAGACCAATCATCTTCTCAGAGCAGATAAAAAGGAGATGCAAACTCAAGGTAGGATCAATGTTATGACAGGACTTATAGACTGAAGAAGAGGGATCTCATTCTTCACAGATGCTGTATGGAAACAGAAGCTGGTCAGCCTCAGAGACTTCCTTCAACATAAGCCCAGATTGGTCCCCACCTTGCCCTTCAAGCTTTCCACACTATACAGAGGAGTTGTAAATACTAGCTCCACCCTTGCACTCCTCAGTCCTCTGCTTGCTGACTTCATATGGGAAAGCCTGTGGGCTTTTTAGCAGAAGCATCTTTTCTGATTTCAAGTGCTGTACCAAAGCATCACCTAGCAGGGCCCAGGGGAATATCTGGATAACTATCAGTTCGCCTACCAGCATTGAGTGTAACTGACTATGGAGCCAACAGAGACTGCAAGAGAATAGGTGCCACATGCTTTCTATTTCCAGTCCTACAAAAATAAGCAGCCACATCTTTCTCTAAGTATAACATCTGACACTCTGGTTTTGCTGCATTACTATTAGCTTGATCTACAGGATAACTGGTCTGTCTACCAGTTATCTCAAGGTCAATGCTCTATAGGCGTGTAGCAGGGAGAAAATGAGCAAGGGAGGTTGAAGTAACCTGTGAATTTAATAGTTTACTGGCCTGTGCTAAACGAATCTATCAAATGTTCTTAAACTAAAGAAACAAATAACCTATCACTAATCAGAAGGTTGAGGAATGCATACACTAATATTCTGCCCCAGCTATGACCTTGCATTTAACTTGAGCATTGAGGGAATGGCACTTTTCATATTGCACTGTAAAAGCAACAATGTTCTGTGTAATCCCTCAGGAGATGCCAATGGAGAACACCCCAAAGCCATCTGCTCAGGAGACTGACACAAATGGCTTACTGTGGTGGAGCATAGCATAGGAAATGATTCTTTATCCAGAAGACAAAAAACAATCCAGCCATTCCTACTATGTGACACAGAGGAAAAACTGAGGGACCTAAAAAAATTTCCACTAACAAAGGCCAAACAAGACTCCTCAGCATCAGTCTCAGGAAGTGTCATTATCCTCACTGTACACTGAGATCTATCTCTAGATTGTCATCAGAGAAGTGGCAACATCTCATTCCTGTTGGTCCCCCTTCTTGCCCTGGAATGGCAGGCAGACTGTCCCATTAACACTGGATGATGGCAACTGGCCTAGCAGTTGCATAGTAATACCATCACACAACCATTTGGGGATACTATGACAGAACACAGGCCAAAAGGATTTGCAGCAGTTAAGCCTAAAGAGTACAGAAAGGAGAAATAATCACAAGAAGAAGGAGCAACCAGCACCTTCCAATTTTGGGAAATAACAGAACCACTCAGGAATGAGTCTGTCATTCTGAGCTACAATCATGCAACAATGATAGCAAAGGCTGTTGAAAGAATTACAAGGCTCAAGCATTGAGTGTCAGTAGCCCAAACAGATTCCATTTATTTTCAAGATCAAATCATCGCCTTCAGAAACTGGCAGGAAGAAGAAAAGTTACTTTGATCTCTAGGCTGCTCATGACTGAGAGCACTTCTACATGCTGGAGTGAGGATGAAAGCTTTGTGGCCTCCTGCCATTTTGCTCCAGCATAAGATTTCAAAATTCCTGACACTGGATCAGTTTGGGTCATGAGAGTTTTGACAGCAACATGAAAAACACACAAAGCGCAGGGCCACATACCTGTGGAGGTTCTGATGTTCCCCGGACAATACTGCCTGCGTAAATATGGGATGACATACACACCCTCTTATTATCAGTCGAGACAGTCATCAAGTAAATTAGGGGAATTTGAGGTTGGGGACCTTTGCAAGAACAGTTAGCTCCTACCCCAGGAGAGCCTCTGTTAGGCCTCTGTCCCTCCAGGCCTAAGCTACAGTGCCGCTCCAGCCCACAGCCCACACCTGCTACCTGGTCTCCGGTCTCTGCTCCGGTCTCAGCTTTACTCACTGGTGGTGCCCAGACTCTTCAGGCAGCAGAGCTGCCTTGCAGGCAGGCAGCACACCTCGAAGGGAGGCAACTACACAGGGGGCACCTGGGCGAAGGGACAAACCCAGCAGGTAACCGGGCAGGCACCGGCTGGCTGGACCAGGTTACATCACTTGAGGCTGTGTCTAGACCAGCAAACTAAAGGGGGGC